TGCTTTTCCCCTAAGCTCAGGAACAAGGCAAGCATGCTCATTCATACCACTTTTTTCAACATAGAACATAATGACATAATTTCAAGCCAATGCAGTATGGCAAGAAAATAAAATAAAAGACATACAGATTAGAAAGGAAGAAATATAACTAACCCTGTTTGTGGATGACATGGGTATCTATGTAGAAAACTCAAAGAATCTTTAAAAAATAAATGGAACAAAACAAGCCTCTTAGAATTAATAAGTGAGTTCAGCAAGGTTGTAGGATACAAAATAAACATACCAATTCAGTTGTATTTCTTGTGTATTAATAGTGAGCTTAATTTCTTGTGTATTAACAGTAATACTGCATATTAACAGTGAAGCATATGGACACTGAAATTAAAAATCGCTTAAAAAGATACATAAGTGTAAATCTAACAAAACGTACACTGAAAACTACTTAACAATGATGAAATAAATAAATTGGAAAACTCAATGTAGTAAATATGTCAATTTTCCCCCAGTTAATATGTGGGTTTGGGCCGGGCGCAGTGCCTCACGCCTGTAATCCCAGCACTTCGGGAAGCCAAGGTGGGCAGATCACCTGAGGTGAGAAGTTCAAGACTAGCCTGGCCAGCATGGTGAAACCCCATCTCTACTAAAAATACAAAAAAAAAAAACAAAAAAAATAGCTGGGCGTCGTGAGGGGGCTGACCTGTAATACGCAGCTTACTCAAGGAGGCCTGAGGCAGGAGAGATTGCTTGATCACCCGAAGGCAGAAAGCTCAGTGAGCTGAGACCAACGCAATTACACTCCAGCCCTGGGGCAACGAGAGCGCATAAATTTCATCTCAAAAAAAAAAGAAAAAAAAATATCGGTTTGATTCCAATTCCTGTCAAAATCCAGCACATTTTTTTTTTTAGAGGCAATGAGCAGTCCTTATATCTAAATGATAGTATGGAACCGCAGTTGCATGAGGCCTCAATGAGCTGTACACCACGTCACTTTGGAAAGGGCTACGGTGGGAGGATCACTTGAGGCCAGGAATTCAAGACCCGCCTGGCCAACATGTGCAAAACCTGGTTGTCTCTGGTACGTAAAAATACAAAAAATTAGCCGGAGTTGCAGTGGTGGCGTGCGCCTGTAATCCGCAGCTATCTGCGGGACGATGTGAAGCCTGAGAATCACTTTGACGACTCTGGGAAGCGGAGGTTGCAGCTGAGCCAAGATGACATGGCCACTGCGCTCCACAGCCAGGGGAGGGGGGGGGGGGGAGGGGGGGGGGGCGGGCTGAACAGAGCAAGACCTGTCTCAAAAAAAAAAAAAACAAAAAACAAACAAACAAAAAAAAACAACGTATGGAAAGAGAAATAATTTTGAAAAATAAGAATTAAATGGGAGGAGTAAATTTTTTGATTTCCAGACTTAAAGCCACAATAATCAAGACTTGGTGATTGGTGGAAAGATAGATCAGTGGAACAAAGAGAGAATCCAGATATAGACACACAAATATGCCCAACTAATTTTTGACAAAAGTCAAAAGGAATTCAGCAAAGAAAAGATAGCTTTTTCAACAAATGTTGGAACAATTGGACATCTATAGGCAAAAATAATCAACCTCATCCCAAGTCTTATATCTTACACTAAAAGTGACTGAAAATGGGTCATGCAATCAAATGTAAAATTAAAATTATAAAACATTTAGAAAAAACATAGGAGAAAGATCTAGGACTAGGCAGAGTTCTTAGATCAACACCAAAAGTGTAGGAGCAAAAATACATGAGTTGGACTTCATCAAAATTTAAAACTTTACTCTATGAATGATCCTTTTGAGAGGATAAAAAGATTAACTATAGACTGTGAGAAAATATTTGCAAGCCACATATGTAACAAAACCATGGACTATATATGTTTTGTCTTTTATGCTGAGTTAAAATTGTTTTATTTTATTATTTGTTTAGTGTCTCTGTTTCTAATTTACTCTCAAACTTCCCAGGAGAACTGAAAATCTCCTCTGAATACAATCCCACCCGTCAAGCTTTCTGTCAGCTTCATTTTCTTAGAGACGTTTCCATTGAGCCTCTGTTTCCTGCTTCAGTCTGGACAAGTCAGCCTATAGGCAGTCTATGTATTTACCATGCGAGGACATCCTTTTCTCATTTTCTTAGAACTTCCTCTTTCTCTTTTCTGTGTTAGATCCCATCTTCTCTTTTTTCCTTGGCTTACTCCCTCATTCCAGGGAGGAAGTACCTCTTCTGGTACTTTCTTGGCTAAAATTAAAAAGACTAAAACAAGCCCAAGCCAGGATGTGGAGTCATGGGAACCCCCAAACGATGCTGGTGAGTGTGTAAATGGGAATGGCCACTTTGGAAAGTGACTTTGTATTCTCTGCTAAAGCTGCACATTCCCAGGGACCCAGCAGCTCTGATCAATAGGTATTTTATACCCAAAAGAAATATGCAGATGTAGGTACCAGCAGACCAGTACAGAATATCGAAGCAGCATTAATCTTACTGCAGAAAAAATTAGCAACAATCCAAATGTCCATCGGCAAGAGAATAGATACATAAATGGCAGCATATTCACGCAATGTAATATACAACAGTGAACACGATCAACTATATTTATATGCAGTAAGGTAGATGAATCTTATAATTTTGAATGAAAGAAGCCAAATACTAAAAATATTGTATGATTCTATTTATATCAAGTTAGAAAACCAGGTGAAACTAAACTATAGTGGTAAATGTATCAAGGTGGAAGCCTAGAAGTGATTATTTAAAAAGTAAGGAATGTGGTGAGCAGCGAGGGGGAGGAATGATAGGGAATGAGGCATGGAAGGCCTTCTAGGAACATGGCCATGGGCCCATGGGTGCTTGGTTAATGATAAATCATTGAACTGAATATGTTTGCTTTGTGCACTTTTTCTGTATGTGTGTTAGGTTTCACAATGTGAATGGTTAAGAAAATGAGCAAAGATGAAAACAAACCCACCCACCCCCAAATTAGATACTGTTATATTAGCTACTGCATGGACAGAAATGTCTAAGTCCAACATTAGCAAGCATTGGTGAGCGTGTGGATTAGCCTGAATTCACACCCTATTGGTGGCAGTGTCATTTGTTTGAGTTATTTAACACATGGTTTGATCTTACCTAGTAATGCTGTGTGTGCGTGTACCGTAGGGCAGAACAGTTCTGTGGGCTTGCTCCATGGGTCTCCTGGGGCTGGAGAGCTGGCAGCTCCTGGAACCTGTTCTTTTCCTGCTGTATATTGGAAGTTGCAGGGAGAGGGTGCAGAAACACGAAGCCTGTTGAGGTCTTAAGTTCAGAACCTGCAAGCTATCATTTCTATCCGTATTCTACTGCTGAAAGCCAGTCGCAAAGCCCACCTGACATGGGGCAGGGGGTGGCAGGGGGTGGCAGGGGGTGGCAGGGGGTGGCAGGGGCTAAGTCTTAAGCTGACCTGAGAAAGTGAAAGCTGACCTCCTCCGGTGAATATCAGCACATTTCTTGGCTCTGAGGATGCTGCATTACCCCTCCCCCAGTATGTAGGAGAGGCAGACACATTGATACCTGGAGGTTTTATAAGTATTGCCTCAGCCTCAGTAATACTGCATGCAATGAAAAATTATTTGTTACAGTTATAAATGGCCAATATTTGTCTGAAAAGTATTTGTACTTTGAGTTGGCTGCTGTAAACATATTATCTGTTGGAAAGTAGGGCACTTCTTAGTCTAAGGAAAATAACTTGTTTCATGTTCAGTGTTATTTTGAATAAAATTGCATAGATTTTACCGATTTTTTTTTGTTTGAGATGTAGTCTTGCTCTGTTACCCAGGCTGGAGTGCAATGGCACGATCTCAGCTCACTGCACCCTCCACCTCCTGGGTTCAAGTAATTCTCCTGCCTCAGCCTCCTGAGTAGCTGGGATTACAGATGCACACCACCATGCCCGACTAGGTTTTGTATTTTTAGTAGAGACGGGGTTTCACCGTGTTGGTCAGACTGGTCTTGAACTTCTGACCTCGTGATCTGGCTGCCTCAGCTTCCCAAAGTGCTGGGATTACAGGTGTGAGCCACCGCACCTGGCCTGATTTTCTTTTTTAGTAGTTTTACATCTAAGACTTTATTATTTTTTAGCTATGTATTTTTGAGACAGGGTCTCAATATGTTGCCTAGCCAGGCTGGTCTCAAACTCCTGGGCTCAAGCGATGCTCCTGCCCCGGCCCGCTGAGTAGCTGTGAATGCAGGTGGCATACCACCACACCTGGCTGGGACTTGACTTTTCTAAAGCTGCTTTTCTCCTAGGCACTGGTAACTCTGTTCCCTTCCTTCTCACTGAGACTCTCATAGTCTGTTTTCATCTAACACTGCTTTTTCAAATACTTGAAATGCATTGTTTTTCCCTTCCATGGTTTTCCATTTTCCAGGCCAGTTTTATTCATTCAACATGTATTGAACACCTACAACTTACTGCCATTGTCAATACTGTGGTGATAAGATGCACCTGTAGCTGGATAAAGTCAGTCTTCAGTAGCAGTGAGGCAGGAAAACCAGACAAGGCCTCGAGGATGGCGCTGGAGTTGGGTCTTGAGGGATGAGCAGGAGTTTGATAGGCCATGAAGTGAGGCAGGAAATTTCTGACTATGGAAGGAGAATGAGCCAAGGCACAGAGCTAGGATAACACATCTCAGTGCATACATCAGCGTGAGTGATTTTCAGTTTATTGACCTTTATCTCACTTTGCAATCCACCTGCCATTTTCTCTAATGTGTAGCTTAAGTTTCTTCAAATGTACTTTTACTTTTTCATACATAGCTTTTTAAAATAGGAATTTGAAGTCCTCCTAAGGGCCTGGGTCAATAGAAATTGTTTTTGCTTTACTACTTAAACACACTGAAACAGGCTGTTTTGAACTGAGCCATTTTCCTGTGTTCTGAATTGTGTCACTCATGCGTACCCTCAGGGGCTGAATGCCTGTTAACGGTGAGGTCTGTCTGTGTTCCTCTGTCTAGATTAAGTTTGACAGTGTGGAGGTGTGTGTCTGCTGTGAGCTGCAGCACCAGTCGTCCGGCTGCAGCAACCTCGGGGAGACGCTGAAGCTGAACCCGCTGCAGGAGAACTGCAACGCTGTGAGGCTGACCTTGAAGGTGACCCCGCTGGGCGCTGCTTGTGCATGCATTTCATCCCATGCCTTACGGACAGTTTAGGAAGCCTTGTTATCATATAGATTCCTTTCAGCTCTTAACTTCCTGGGGTAGGTTCAATGCGAGAGGGAATATCTTTCCAGAGAACATTTGAAAGGATTACAGATTTTGATTTTGAAGGTGTTGCTTTCTGGATCTCGCTTTGCATTTTTGCCATTTCATTGTCCTACCTCTGACATCTGCAAAGTCGGATGCAAATGATTGAAAGAAGTCTTTACAAATGCGGATGGGAGGCATTCTATGACTTTTCTGACACTTTTGGCTGTTATACCATCAGGGAACAAATAGGGATTTATTTTGCTTTTTAAAAGATTTTTGGAGGAAAAAAAAAATCAGACAGTCTCCCGTGCAGTCTGTTCTCATGTGTAGCATCTGATCTTTTAAAAAAAGTGATTTGGAAAAATTGTTTATATTATTTTATTTTTTCTTCCAAATGTTTTATTCTGAAAAGCAAAATTGGCTACTTAAAAATACGTAAGAAGAGTGAACCCAATTCTTCTGTTTCCCCTGAATAAAACTGTGCCAAAACTTTTTAAAAAGATGTGGCACAGGCCGGGTGCAGTGGCTCACACCTGTAATCCCAGCACTTTGGGAGGCTGAGGCGGGCGGATCACTTGAGGTCAGGAGTTCCAGACCAACATGGGTCGAACCCCCTCTCTACTAAAAATAATAAAAATTAGACCAGGTGTTGGGTGGCGGGCCGCCCTGCAGCCCCAGCTGCTTGGGAGGTCTGAGGCAGGAGAATCATTTGACACCTGGGAGGCAGAGGTTGCAGTGAGCCAAGATTGAGCCACTGCACTCCAGCCTGGTGACAGGAACAAGACTTAAAAAAAAAAAAAAAAAAGGATAAATAAATATAAAAATATGTGGCACAGTCCAAGGAACTCTCAGTTGGTGGTAAAATTGTGTTTGCAGTATGGAGGGGTTCTAGCATGTGTGTAGGGAATGCAGTATGCAGGCGATGGGAAACTGCTGAGAGCCACCTTGGATCTGGGGAGACGAGGAAAGCGTTGACCTTGAGTGCCTGTGATTAGTCCTCCATGGGTGGTCACCAGCTGGTAGACAAGCAAAGATGTACAGAGAGCGAGGATGCAGCTCCTCTCTGTGGTAGGACTGCACCTGGCTCACAGCACCTGCCATGTTTTGCACGGCGGAATGGTCCAAGGTGAGCGGTCCTAGCAGCTCACCAGAGTGACAGATGCAGCGGGGTTGGAGGAAACCAGAACGGCGGCACTCCAGAGCCCATCCCGTCATGGGACCAGGGATTTCATGCTGCCCACATTACCTACGCCCACATTTCTACCTCACTGCATCCTGGGGCCTGCCTGGGTCAGTGCCTGAGGTCTGCCATGGCCTTTCTCAGCCCTCCTGGGAGGGGACACGGGTAGCCATTGCTCACTCTGCGATCTCATTCTGACAACTGCTAAGTCTCTTCTTCAACCTGGAGATATCTTCTTGAGTATGAAGATGCATTTGGGCCTCATGTTACCGCCCGTTCCTCAGCTGGCTGGTCAGGGTGTTCAGTGTGCTCCTCTAAGGTGCTGGCATTCTCCTTGAAGGCCTTCACTCCTGGGACGTAGGACCCGGTTTTCATGACTCTCCAACCCCTGCAGTGGTGACTGTGACTTGAAAGGTAATGCTGGTAAAAAAACAACACTGTCTCTAAGAATGCAGTCTCAGGTCTAGTGGAGCTGGTGACCTTGCAGTCTCGCTCTTATTCACTGTTCTGGTACATGGGTGAGAAAAGCCCTTGGTATGAGGTGGCAAAAACGGCGTGGAGTAAAGGCCACTGAAGTCCAGAAGTTCCAGGGAAGGCTGGGCGCCTCGCTGAATGCATGGCACATCCCCATGGGTATTCAGATTGCCCGGGACACTGGTAAGAGTTGATAGCAAAAGAAAAACCACACCATTTTAAACTCCTTAATGAATTTGTGTACAAAGCCTACCTGGAGGTAGGAACTATCAAAACCGGTGGCAGGAGGCTCAAAGGAGACAGGAGTTGTGATCAAGGTGCGAGGCCAATGGTCTGGAAGTGGCAGCAGTGGCTGAGGTGGTAGGAGAAGAGACAGCCTGCCCCTGTCCCCTACCTGAGGACCTGTGCAAGGAGCAATGGCCTTGGCAGGGACTGACTTTCTTCTGAGATCAAGAGGACCAGGGACTATTGGAAGTGAGTATCTGTTTATTGCTGTCGTCCAACTTTGTTGCTTTTCAAAATTGTCTTGGCTATCATTTCCTTTGTAATTCCATATCAATTTTAGAATCCACTTGTTCATTTTCTACTAGAATCCTGCTGGGATTTTAACTGAGATTGCATGGAATCTACACATCACTTTAAAGAGACTGGATGTATTCATGATATAGTTCTTCATTTATTTAAGTCATACTTCATTTCTCCAGTGTATCTTTTCTTCATCAACCTTGTGTAAATTTCAGTATATATATCTTAACATATTTTGTAATAGTTATGCTTAAAGTACTCCACATTTATGGGTGCTATCCTAATGGTATTTTTTAATGGTCTCTTATTCACTGCTAGCATATAGAAATTTGATTTTTGTTACCAATCTTTTATCCTGTGGTCTTGCTAAACTCACATAGTTCTGGTAGCTCTTTTGCAGATTCTTTGGATTTTCTTATGTAGACAGTCACGTGCTATGCAAAGAGAGGCAATTTTACATCTTCCATTCTCCAGACAAACAGAGCCAATAGGACAGATATAGATAGGTGAGAGAGAATTTATTGAACGAATTGCTGACATAACCATGGAAACTAAGAAGACCTATGACAGCCCATCTGCAAGGTGGAGACCCTGGAAAGCTGGGAGTTTGGCTCAGTCTAAGTCCAGAGGCCTCAGAACCAGGGAAACCAATGGTGGAACTCTCAGTCCAAGGCCAAGAACCCGGGGGGAGGGGTCGCGCCAGTGTGAGTCCCAGGGTCCAAAGGCCAGAGAGCCTGGAGTTCTGATATCCAAGGGCAGGACAGGGTGTCTCAGCTCCAGAAGAGAAAAAGAAAATAATTCACTTTTCCTCTGCCTTTTTGTTCTAGCCAGGCCCCCCGCCAATCAGATGGTGCCCCCCAGCATTGAGGGTGGATCTTCCCCACTCAGTCCACAGACACACACCAATCTCCTCTGGAAACATCCTCACAGACACACCCAGAAATAATGCTTTGCCAGTTCTCGAGTGTCCTTCATCCAGTCAAGTTGACACCTAAAATAAAGCAGCACACATTGCAATCCGGATGCCTCTTATTTCTTTTCCCTGTTTTATTGCACTGACCAGACTGCCCTGTACAGTGTTGAATAGATGTGGTGAGAACAGATGTCCTCGTCTTGTTCCTGCTTTTAGGGATTAAGTATAATGTTAGCTCTAAGTTTTTCGTAATGTTTATTATCAGGTTGCAGAAGTGCCCTCCTAATCTTAGTTTGCTGAGAGTGGTTTTTTGTTTTTTGTTTTTACCACTAATGGCCATTGAATTTTATCAGTCTTTTACTGCATCTGCCTAGATGTTCCTGTACATTATCTTCTTGAGTCCACTCAAATGGTGAATAACATTGACTTTTGAGTGGTAAGTCCGCCTTGCATTCCCAAGATAAATCCCACTTGGTCATTTTTTCCTCGACTGTTTCCAGTCCACTGCTGACCCGGTCTGTCAAAGGCATTCTTCATCTCTGTGCCTGTTTTTCATTCCTAGCATTTGCATTTGACTCCTCCTCATTGCTTCCATCTCTCTGCTACCTTACCTCGGTGATCTTGCATCTTGCCTAGCTTTTCCACTGGAGCTGGTGGTGTCTGACTGCATGCACCCTAGGTAAGTGCTCGTGTCTCTCCTTGGAGACTCTGTCTTTTCCTTAGAATTTGCTGCCCTGTGACCTCAGCTGTCTGATGGGTTCAACTTAAGCTGGGAATCTGCAGAACCCAATGTCTTGTTGTTGTTGTAACAGTGGGGCAGTGTTCTTTCTAGCTTTCTGTATCCTCAGCAGAATCTGGAATCATGTTCTACATCATCTTTCCCCCTGGGTGCAGAATTCTTGAGGAAACTTTTTCCCGCCTAGGGGTTTATAGATGATATGTTATTCTCTTTTGCATTGAATATCTATATAGGGAAAAATCTTAAAGTCAGCCAAATGCTTTCTCTCCTTTAGGTATGTGATGGTCATTAATGTTGTTTTAAAATATGTCTAGCTCTCCAATTTCCTTTTACATGGTAAGATTGTACTTCCCTGTCCCCTCATGGTTGCTGGGGGCCATGTAAGCAAAACTTATATGTACCATTTTCAAGTCAGAGTGTTTAAATGTGGTGTGAGGTCTTTCAGAGCTCTCTTTCCCACTGGCACAGTAATTGGCAGAGTGGAGGTGGTGGCAGCGCCATCAGCCTGGATCACTACAGTGAGCAGAGCCCCCTGCACCTTACCCACACTGGAAATGTAGCATGAATGACTAACAAACTCTTTTGAGACAGGGTCTCAGTCTTTTGCCCAGGTTGAGTGCAGTGGCGTAATCACGGCTCACTGCAGCCTCAACCTCCCGGACTTAAGAGATCCTCCCACCTTAGCCTCCCAAGTGGCTGGGACTGTAGGCATATGCCACCACACCCAGCTAATTTTTTTATTGTTTGTAGAGACAGGGTCTCACTGGCCCAGGCTGGTGTTGAACTCCTGGGCTCATGTGATCCTCCTGCCTTGACCTCCCGAAGTGCTGGGATTATGGGCATGAACCACTGCCCCTATCCCTGTTGGGTTTTTGTAAAGCTTCTCTTCCTAGCTGTTTTCTACAGCAGGCATTACCCTTTTCCTCTGCTTGCGATGGGATCTTGAGTCATGGCAACTCCCTCCTCAGCTCCTTCTGTCTTTCTCTTTTTTTCCCATGAGCCCTTGTGTCTTTGCTTTTATCTCTGAGATTGCAGCAGCCTTCTCTCCTTGGTTACGGTTTGCACCCATCGAT